TCAAAGGCATACTAAAAATAACTTCACTATTTAGTACATGCGGTAACTGATTGTTAAGCTTAAATGGTATTCTCGGTCGTTTTTTAGTCAGGTGTGCTAGAGAACTAGTGAATCGAGACTGCAATGTAGTGTATTTTATGGTAGTAAAAGTATTCAAGAAATCGTAACTATGTTTTTTGCCTGGTTTTTAATAGTAACCTGAATAAAATCAGAGACTTACAAGAAAAACTGGTCTGATTTACTCAGTACATCAATTGGAGATCATAATAGTGGCTAATCAGAGTAATAATAGTCTACATCTGGATTTAATTAAGTGGACAAAAGATGCCACTTATGAGTAATAATTATATGATCAGCATGAATTGTAGACTGATCACTGTAAATCTTGTTTGTATTCAGATAATTTCGTGACCACTTTCAAAGCTCTCGCAAGCTTCATAAACCGTATGAATACTTAAGAGCAGCTTTAAGGATATAAACATTCATTTCCAAAGAGACATCATTATCTTTGATAAACTAACATAGAGTGAAACGCAGTTTCCGTTAGAGAGAATAAGTTTAATATTCATCAACATGAACCTTGGAAGTGATGTTTTTAATCATAACAAAAAACAATTCATATGCAGTTAATGAGGGAATCAACCTAAGTTTGAAGTGCACACAAAAATAAAATGGTTTTCTGATTAATCTGTACAGCACACTGGAGATTAGCGTTAAACGCGAACTTGTTTGGTAACAAATAATTTGGCTTTAAGAAATACTTGCACAAAATATTGTCAATTCACAGATTATAAATATTTAATACAACCTACCCAGGGTTGGTTTTGTCGGAAATCCTCCAATACTTTGAAAACTTTACACACAGGATCAGTTGCTTTCCAGAGTGAGAAGAAAAAACGGAAAACCAATAGTATCGAAATCAGGATTCAGCATAAAATAACTTTATTCAGCACGTGAAAAAATCTAAATGGTGCTGGTCAATGCCGTGTTTTATCTCGCGTTATGAAAAAATCTCGATCCGGAAAATAACCAGTTAGTATAAGCAGGTGTAAGAAAAAATACGATAAAAGGAAAGCAAAATATTCAAACCAACAAATTGGAAACTTACTAGGACCAAAGTTAATTGTTGCTAGATAGCGCTTGTCAGACGAACCACATTTTAATAGACCGTCGGAGGGACCATCTGATGTGAAAATTACGATATTCTCCCCCAAATGTAAACGTGATAAATTGTAAAGCCCTTCTAAGTATGTTTGATCGCATGTTGGATATGAACCATATTCATTTTCTAGCTGATAATGAATAAATGCGAAAAATTTAATGTAAATATGCATTTTAAGATATTTTTCTATTAATAATAAGTCTGATGAAATTTGAGTAATATTGGTTATTAGGCCTTGACTGGATGTCTGCATAGTGATATAGTCGATAAAACACCTGAGGGTTTTCAGAATGCAGGTTAAGAATGTGAACATATTAAAGAATCCAATAAATAATTTCAGCATCGAAAATAGTTCCCTTTGTATTTCTAATCGTTATGCTCGTCACTTAATATGCTTGAACTATTACGAGGTCACCTTAGTCAGTAAACGAGAGCTAAGACGAATGATCCAGTGACACGTTACTCTAATTCGAGCGTCCCAAGCCCCCACTAACGGTATCAAAATTTCTTGATATGGCGTAGAAAGTGTATTCTAAAAGCACCCAGAAAATATGAGGTTTTGTAGAGAAGAAGAGGAGCATTAAACTTTACAGATCACGCATGTTTATACAGTTAGGTCGACCGTGAATACTAACCAATAGGAAACAACATATAAAAGTATGTGAACTTGATAGTTTAGGACTAAATAATTTCTTTAAAATATTTGATGAATATTCCAACACCAACCGTCAATAGTTCTATGAAATCGCTCTTATTTCTATTCGATTCTATAAAAGTTGTGATACAAGGAAGTATTAATCGGCAAAATATGTGAATGCGCATGTAGTTTATGTAATTAATATGATCACAAATCCGTTCTACTAAGACACACTGATTCTGTCACTTGACTAGAACCCTTCAAAGCAGGATGCATTAGTTAATGCCGGAAACCAACGATTAAATTTTAATAAAGTAGTTTACCTGCACCATAATTATCGGTCCACCATTCTCAAAAAGAAAATGTTTAATGATAGGTAACAGAACGTCGAACCATTTCGTCACATAGTTCATATATTCTGTTAAGGGATTAAATTAAAAGTGAATATCAGTAGATTAAGTAACATTTTCTTCGGCATTTACAATCACTTCAGAGTTTTGCTTGACTTTTTTAAAAACAATCAATGCCGTTATAAATATCTACATGTTTGTATGAGAAGTAAACTTTTAACTTAATGTTAATTAAGTAACAAATTTTACTCAATAAATATGAACTTAAAAACAGCCGAATCATATGCCATAGAAAACAATAACTGCAACCCTTATTTTACATCATTCGAAATCTCTCACAAACAGTGAAAATGTACTCATGATTAACACTTTCTTTATTTGTATTTATTAAGACTTTTGATCGGCTAATTTTTTCAACCTTGGCTATTCGAGCTTTGAAATGTGGTACACTTAGAAGCCGTGTATTACTTCATTAGCTCCTACAACGTATTACTTACTTAAAGAATCGCTGGACCTTGAATAGCAAATCACAGTAAAACAGAAAGTTAACGTGTAAGTTTAGTGCTCCAAAAGCCTGGCCAAGGTTAAATCGCGGTTTGTGTTAGGTGATGATAAGAATACCAGTTTCATTCAATACTACAAGATTTTCCAGCAAATTATCATACCTGCTACCTGGTCCCAAGTAGTCTTAACATACTTGGTTTCCCTTATCCTTAATACTGTTAGTGTATTGCTTGACAATCTAGGTGTCATTAGTAAGAGGTACAGCTTATCAAGCACCATATGATTGAAAACATGGGCCACAAGAAAGTTAGTGAGAGATAACGGACAATATAAGACACTCAAGTTTGCACGTTACTAAATTTTAATCAAATGCACCGTTTAAAAAATATTTTTTTCACTTACTATTCGTTCTAAATTTCTGATCTTTCAACGAAGATCATGTCTTTAGTGAAACAACCTAATGGGGATATTCCATAAGAGATGCTACTTAAATTTCAACTCGGCTTAGAAATCAAGTGATTCTAATAACTGCTGCATAACATGCTGTGACTGATGAAAAACCACCTGATACAACCTGAAGCGTTTTTACTATCATAAACAAATACGTTCTCATCACAAAAGGTAAACACTTTATTGAGTAAGTTATTCCTCATAAAACTATTCTATACATGAAAAGTGGTAGGAATGTAGATACGAAGAAATTAAAATAAGGGCCAGAAAACTTTTGCCTACAATTGGATTCTACTTTGGATTTGATAGTTTCTGGGTTTACATCATTTTCAAGATGAAAAAACATAATTTTATATGTAATCTACATGAGCATTTTAACTTAGCGCTAACTGCAAACTACCTGGATCACTGGAGCGTAATTTCATCAATGGATTAATCCGTAAAAGCCAAGGAGGCAACCCGCCCTGAAACCGAACAAACGTCACTTTAGAAGTCGAATTAGTTGTGAATGAAATACTAAACATTTAACATACTGATATTTCAAACTCACAAAATCCCATTCAGCACATATATTATGGTCCGACTCGTGCAATCACCAACAGATCTAACGATGAAGCCAGTTTTCAAAAACCTTTGCAGACTTCGGTCACCATGAAAATCGAATATATCACTTTCGGGCTGATGGAAATTCCATGGTATATAACTAAGCACAATAAAAAGTAAATTACCGGATACATGTTATATTATGTACAAATTGCTAGATACAGGTCATTTATTGTAACAAACATCAGCAGCTTTTAAGTCCTAAAACAGCTTTCAGTTCGCTTAAGAGTTAATGCAGATATTCAGAGGTGATATAATATTTACTGTTTTTATACGAACAAAGAGCAAATGAAAGTAAAAACAACCAGAAGTTATCAATAGCATTCATTGAACACATGAACTTGGTTACCTTAGGGTTTTATATACAGTAAAAGTCGTTTTATTACTGACATGCAGTTTATAAAAGATCTATTCACATTAATTTACTGTGTGCAAATAATCCGAAAGTAGAAAGTTAAAACAAGACAAACATGAAGATTCCAAACAGTTAAACTTACATCTGAATGGCATCCAACCCAGCAGCCTTCATTTGAAAAGTCGGTCAGGCCAGTACTCTTGCGGGATGCGAAAATAGTGTATACTTCCGGAAACATATTGGAAAGGTGCATCATCTTTCATGAAACACGTGATTACTATAGTCGACAGTGAATGAACGTTTTACTTTGTTACAGTAACAGGGAAACAGGACTAATAAAATGACAATAAGCGAAGATAACATTTCTCCTGAAGCAATGTGGACGGAGAAAAGATATCATAAGTATCTAGATTTTTACAATACACAGAATATAATTTTAAACCACGAGCATGCTCACACTGTTTTACCACTAAAAAACTAGCAACAGCAGAAAATTTTGGAATACTCCCAAATTTATGGGAGTTCTCTGCCGTAAACTTTAAACAGCATCAAAACAGGATGTAAAAGAAGTTAAATGTACAGAAGTTTCATCTAACAAACCTAATATTTCCATGAAAATACAGAAATTATTAAATATTATAAGGTCGATAGCTTTAGCAAATAACTAGTCGTCGAATTACTCACGTTTTTTTGTATCTGATCGTCTAGAAAGAGGTATTTCAAACCAACACATGCTATCGTGATATTTTCGACACTCGAACATCAGAAAATGGAATTCCTGACCCAAAATCCATCCTTGTCGTTTGCTGTGGGTTTTTATTCTGTTTGCCGTTCTATTCTAATGCCAAGTTACAAACGCACATCTACATAAAGATAAGTGATAAAAATCACTACCTTTGCCCATATTAATGGTTTACTACTGAACGCCTTGTAAAAAATCACTTTACTACCGTTCCGAAATGATAATTCGCAAAACCAAATGACGAGTTATTGTCAGTTGTCCCAAGATGTTCCAACGTGCCACATGTGCCACCTACTTTCTATATATTCACTAATGACATTCAAGAGAGTTTCAGCTCACCCGTTCTCATTTATACCGACTATAGAAATTTGAAGTTACTACGCAAGTCGTCAATGTGCTATTACGAACAGCTGAACCGCCAGAAGTAAATAATTTGTTTCATAAGTTTAACAGTTGTATAATTATGATTGATATTTTCCAAAACGCGCAGTCGCAATAGAGTTTAAGCAACGTCAATTCACAAGATAAATCTGAGAGTTTATTAAGTAGCCAATACTTGAATTTCCTGAAATTATTCAAATGCCTTTGTAATTTTCAGCTTTTAGTGTGCTTCTACCCTGGAATCATATTGTATGCTACAGCGTGTGATGCATTCAACTAGGACATGTGAAAATGTGTTAAATTGGCAAACACTCCACAATAACATTTGGCTGATCAACAATAATTAGTACCAAGACAATCTTAAAAATGAAACAACAACATAAACATAGACTCTGTCGCGCGTGCGAATGCTATATTTAATCTAGCTTTTGAGGACATCACGATTACTTCCGGTTAATGAAGGGTACTGACTGCATACAAAATGCGAGATTGCTGTTAAATGAACAGTTAATAGATAAACACAATCAACATATACATAACCTGATAAATAGTTTAATGTATACGATTTTTCTAACCGCTTGTTTAACCAGCGGGTCACACAAACCATACTACAAATAATCTTGCAATGTCATGTACTGCAAAACGAGACTCCTTTTCACTGTTTTGGAATTACAAGATAATATGTCTAAATAAATCGGGCCAAAATCCTAATTTTCACAGTGTACAATGAGGAAATAAGAGATTTACGAGGAAAACACAGCAATCGCACCGCAACACTGCTCTAGGCAATCTGGTAGCGAGAATTGAATTGATGTAAGCTGTCATAGAATACCATATTTTACTTGTTTAAAAGAAACACATTGAACAAACTGCACGATGACACTATACAAGATACTATTAACAACACTTATTTTTGTATCGTAGCTTTTAATGTTTATTAAATGATTATATGACCGAGTTAGTTAATTTCCTTTAGAATCCTGACGTTTGCACTATTTGTTCACTTTTCGAAAATTTAGTTCATTTATTTTATTTCAGTGGCTGAGTTCAGTGGATGTATGTATGGTACATATTCCTGCAATTCGAATTATATAACTGAGAGTGTAACTGGACACTTTCTTAGATAATGAAGCTAAGTAGATCTGAGAAAAAATCATTGTTAGAATATCACTGTTCATGTAAACGTAGATGTACAAACTTTAAGAAAAAAACCAGTAAAAAGGCAAGCAATGGACCCATATAGCCTCATGAAACTGTATTAAATAGTAAAAAAAGAAAACTCACTCATCACTCCTTCACTTGATATGTGTGGCATTAGACTGTAGTTTACCTCAGGGTCATTTTCTAAATTGTTTTGAATCTCAAGGGATTCGGGTCAGTTTGTCAGTGATGGGATGTTTGTAAGGTCGAAGATTCTTTCAGAATCAGATTTAGTCACAAGACACTTATGATTTAGATGATGATCTGCAATTGATTTTTTCCTGCCTTTTGCTAATACGGTGGAACCTCAATACCATGGAAACTCGGTTTTTGTCTGGCGGCATCCGAGAAACTCAGAAATTCACTAGCTCATGCCCATATGTTGAATTTCAATAGTATCAGTGAGTGCTCATCAGGGTGAATTTCGACATTCATCTGTTCTGGAATTTCAGTGAGGTTGTGGCTGACATAAAACGTAAGCCGATTAAGAATGTTCATGTCGACTTGAAACTTTCTTATATGGTCTGTATGTCTACGATTACTTTTGTCAACATCGTTTCCTAAGAGTATCTTTTATAGGTCCGGAAAAGAAACTGCGCCGGATTGTTTGTTTCTGTATGAATTGTTAGCGCGAGTCGTTAAAACTCTTACAAATAGTTTTTGAAGTAGTATTGGACTGAGTTCATTAACTAAGTTTTGCTTGACGTCTAAGTAGAGGCGCTTCTAGTGTTTCCTGCTGTATCTTTGAAAAGCTATAAGTAGCAGACTATTATAAGAATAACCTTTGACATGGAAACTGACGTGCAAAGGTTTCATTAGAATTCTGAAGGTATTTCGAGATCAATGGCCGTTTTTACAAACGGGCGTCAGATGAGGATGACAAAACGCAAGGCGAGAAAATGACGAGAAACTCGTCTCAGGTTTAGATGCAAAACAAATTAAAAATGTAAGAGTTGAAAAAGCTTTGATGTAATGATTTTTGGGATCGCTTCAAAGTAAGATGTCCGACTTTGTCTATACTGGGCAGAAAGCATTGACTTCACAGATTGTATGAGGTTTGCTTGAGCTCAACTCCGGCTGTCGCCACTCTGGAGCTACTACCCATCCCAAGTCCGGATAAAGGAGGAGGGTTGGGATTAAGGTTGGCGACCACATCCCACCAAAAAACCAACTCTCTAAAAAACGCTAACCGGTAAACATAATTCAATTTTAACTCTGCCCTTGGACTTAGAATGTCTTCTTTAAGAAGAGTTATGACGTCTCATGATGAAAGCCGAGTTACTTTAGACGTCATCGGGCTGATGCCCCTTTTGAAAAAAAGGACAACCACTATTTTAGGTACATGGAACGTTCGAACATTATGGTAGACCGAAAATCTATTTCCAGAAATAAAAATATACGACCTGGAGGTGCTTGGAATCGGTCAAAGACACTGGACGCAGGTAGGACAACTGAGACTAGCTTCAGGGTAACTGCTGTTATACTCTGGTCATAAAGAAGAAAATGCCTGACATACACATGGAGTTGCACTGACGCTGCCCAAGCAATCACAAAAGTCTGGGAATCTCATGGACCTAGGATCACTAAGGCATCCTTCAAAACAAAGAAACAGAACAATACAATGAGCGCCATCCAAAGATACGCACCTACCAATGAATACAACTAGGTTCCAGGCCTTGCACAGTGTACTCAATGGAGTGGAAACGACCATGGATAACAATTGGTAAGGGATCAAGTAGGCAATAACTTCAACCTGTCTGGTTCTGGGCCACAATAAGTACCATCACAAGGAACAGATCTCTGTTTGTAGTATTGAAAACATTGAAGAAAGGAGGAACAAGAAGGCAGCAATCAACACCACCCGAACAAGAGCAGAGAAAGCCAAGGCACAAGATGAAGACACAGCAAACAAACAAGAGCATCAGAGCCGACAAACGAAAATATTTAGAAGACCTAGCAATGACGGTAGAAAAGGCTGCAAGAGAAGGAAACTTTAGATAATTGCACGACGCAACAAAAATGGCTCTCTGGAAACCATCGTAAACCAGAACAACCAGTGAAATGGAAAGAAGGTAAAGTTTATCAGCAACACCGAAGAATAGCGAAACAGGTGGGTGTAGCATTCTTGAATTAACCAATCTCACTGAACCTATCCAACATCTCAGAAGCATCCACGAACCTCCCAGTAGATGTTGGCACACCTACAATTAAAGAGATCAGTATGGCCATCAGACAAATCAAGGGCGACAAAGCAGCAGGACCAGATAACATTCCAGCAGAGGCAATGCGAAAATATTCCACACTCTCTTCAAAAAGATTTGGGATGAAGAACGATTGCTAACAGACTGGAAAGAAGGATACCTCATCAAAATATCAAAGAGAAGTGATCTCAGTAAATGTGAAAACCACCGAAGCATCACTGTTCTCCCAATACCAGGCAAAATCTTCAGTAGGCTATTGTTAAACATATTGAAGGTTTTCGAGGTCAACAGGCTGGTTTTCTTATGGATCAATCGTGTACTGACCAAATTGCTACATTACGGATCATTGTGGAACAATCAATTGAATGGATTTCACTACTCTACATCAACTTCATTGGCAAGGAGGAAGCATTTGATAGTGTGGATACGACAACAGCATAGACGCTTCTTGGACACTACGGCGTGCTTAAGAAGATAATCAAAATCAAACGGAATTATTATGATAGATTGGACTGTAAAATCGTGCACGGAGGACGGTTGGCAGACACGTTAGAGGCGAAGACCGGTGTCAGACAAGGCTTCCTACTCTCACCCCTTCTCTTTCTCCTGGTGATCGACTGGATTATGAAGATGTTGACATCTGATGGGGG